CAGATAGGGCCGGTACGTAGGGCTCTGCGAGCCCTACGGACGCACTAACCGTGTCCGGCATCGCGGATGAGCGTGAAATCGAACCCCGCCGGCGGAAAATGGATTATTTGCGATTATAACCGTGTCGGAGGGCGGTAATTTCTCCGGCCGCCGATTTTATTCCCCCCAGGCGAGTATTAGACGGGAAATTGCGGTAGCGGCTTTTCCGACTCGTTCCCAGACCGACGGCGAGTTACACGCGGAGCGTCCGCTCGCTCGATTCGTCGTTTCGCCGCTATTTCACGTGCGCGGTTATCATTTTAATCAAGTTTCGCGTTCCCTCCCTCCCTCCCTCCCTCCCTCCCTCTTTTCTCCACCGAAAGTTAACGCGGTTGGCACGTGGGTGCAGTGGGCCATTGTCGAGATAAATCGGAGCTGAGAGCACGCTTAGTCAGCTTTTCTTACTTGCTGAGAGTTTGCTTCGGACATTTTAAGTCCCGCCGTACCGCGCGCACGCTATAATTGCAGTTTGCGGTATTCGCGAGTGAAGTTTCTCACTTTCGACGAATGCTCCAAATAGCGTACATTCTGTGTACACGACGAGTCTATATTTTCTCTCTCGACATTCCATTTCTAATATATTTTGTTCGTGAGAAATATCCATCCCCGCGCGCGAGATTCCGGCGTGTCGTAAAGAATGCTGTGCTAAGATTAGTTTATTATATTAATTATAATCGATGTGTGTTTCATTGTATTCCTTAGAAATTAGCAGGGAATACCCCAATAAATATCTACCGAAGAAGGACACGTCCACGAATCGCAACGAATAGTTGTCTCAGTAGTCCTTCCTCCGTGAAGGACTACTGAGAGACTATTGGAGAGTTATTGGAGGCGAAGAAAAGTAGAAAGCGGCCGTGAGTAGATCGCGAGTGCTTTGGGCGGACGAGAGGAGCGAGCTAGTGGAGTAAGGCGTGCTTAAACGACCCCGGCGCTTTCTTTCCTTACGCGTCCGACTGTCGCCGTTTATTTTCGTCTCATTAATTAAATGGCTTAGACGAGCGGTAATTAAGTACGCATAATAAATTAGTCCTTCATTTCCATGTAATCAATACGGTTCTCAGCTCGGCGTCTTAGAAACGTCTGGCCTGGTCGAGAGAAACGCGGACGTTTCTTTTTTCCGCAATAAAATAAGAGCGCTTATGTGCGCCGTGTATCCGTCGGTGTGTTTGAAAGGAGTTTGTAAATGAAGAAAATTCTATCGGAGAGAGAGAGAGAGAGAGAGAGAGAGAGAAAGAGAGTAGCAGCAAATGCTGCTCGCGAAATTTCGTAAAATCTGTGGCGCCAAATTCTGTGTCGCGCGTCGCGTGTCAGATTTGCGACGCGTCATTTGTCCTCGTTATATCTTCGTAAAATTGGATTAGGTTCTCCCCCGCGATATGTTACCTCGTCTTGTACGTAACGCGGGATAAAGTGTGCAGTTGTTGGTCACTGCGCAATTATCGGCCATTTGAATTTACGAGCTCCCAATTAGGTTAATGCTAGCGTTTATGTCGATTTTCTGTCTTCCACCGCCGGCAGATTGCATGCCTCTTTACGAAGGAACTCATAAATCATCGGCTGCGTGCAGTAAATTTGTCGAAATGACCAATAATACTATAAATCGCCGCTCGCTATTACATGTGATTTAATTAATAAATGTCTGCGCGATGAAATTAGTAGGTGCACAGTTGCGGTAACGATCTGCCCGCTTTTGTTACGTACTTCCGACGCATCGAATTAATGATGAAAAAGATTGGGAACTTCCACACTCGCGTATTTTGCAACAATCCTGCACTCGAGTGTCACTTTCATCGGAACATTTTTAACGACCATTCGACTCCAGAAGAAAGAAGCTTCAAGCAGCAGTCGCGAGTCCTCCTCGGCAATATTTATGCTCTCGAGCACGCACGAATTTGTCGCGAGAATCTATCGAGTTTGCTATTTTCGTGGTATGAGTAATGGAGTCGCGATTGCCGGCGCGTTGATTTATAACGGGCGGACGTTTCCAACGGGGCACGTTTAGGAAAGCTCGTTTCGGAGCGACCGGCTCGATTTGCACACATCGTCGTGCGAGTAAGGAAAAAAAAGGGAAAAGCGAAAAAGAAGAAGAAAGCCGGTAGGAATCGCGAGGCTCGCTGAGTGGACTGTCGGGGTAAAACAAGTCGATGGAAGAAAAACGACTTGAAATCTCCAGGCTGGTTACGATCGCGCGAACGAGGGCGCGATTCCGTTCCGAGGCCGAGGATTTATCGCACCACCTGTGAGGATTTGCATTTCCGGTTGCAGCAGAGCACGTACAAGATAGCTGCGCCGGGGTAACTGAGCTCGGGATAATTGGAACGCAAGAATAATCGCCGATTCGAGAGAATTTGGTACACGTGCGGATGGCGATTACGACGCGACGATTACGTTCGTCGAGCTCGTCCTTCTCGTGCCTCCTCCCCCCCCCCGTCTTACCACGCGCGGCGACTATCCGCATCTTTCATACACGATTAGCGAGCTCGAAGAGCTCGAAGAGCTCCGCGTCTTGAACGCCGCGAAATAAACGCCGCGGCATCTTTAATTCAACTTTTAATTCGCGGCCGCTCGATGCTCGCCCGCCGATTCGATTATCGATCGCGCGCTTCGTGTTGCAACGTCGCGCGCGGTAACAGCGTCGTTATCCGCTCTGGAAACACGACGGCTACGAGGAAGGTAAATAGCCGTATCAGCGTGTGCCCGTAATTCGATAGAGGATATTTAATCATTTAACGACGAAACGCATCCTGGACAGTGCGACACATGTCAGGAATGTCGCTAAATAGTTCGCGACGCCACACGTTCGCGTAGTCACTTTTCCTCGCTGAATAGCGGCCGATTTCATTCTTCCGTTTATAACCATTGCACTTTGCAATGGTCCTCGGCTTTAGGCCAAATTTTATTCGCCAAAACCGAAGGTGTCTTTATTGCAACACGCGAATATCGAATAGGATTGAGAGACGACCGACGATAATGATAAAGTAACGTCGCAGCGACTGTTTAAAGAAACATCAAATTTTGTCATCAAATACTGTGTCCTAAATTTCTAAATGGTTTCGTCATTGCGTTTTCATTGATCGCGTCGGGACGGTTGCCTCGGTTTGCCCGGTCGCTCGGCTCGACCGTTTCGCGCGTCCCGACAGTTTCAGTCGAAGAAAAGATATTCGGGTCCGAAATTCCGCACCGTTACCGTGGAGGATGGATCTTTCCGCATGTTGTTAAAATTTATCTTTCGTATGTGGGGGCTATCCGAGACCGCGATCATGTCGGACGCGCCGGCGCTTATTGAGAACATAAATTTCGCCCGGCGGCGAAAGAAATCGCCGTCGAAGGATCAGATCAGCGTTTCGTTGTTGCCCTATCTAACAAAACCGTAGCTACGCTATTTACGAGACGCTCGAGCGAGATAGGAACGTATCGCCCGTCGTTGCACACTTCCCCTCGGTTTGCATTTAGTAAAAGTGCCGGGTCGAGTTTACCGCTGTCATTCATCGCTGTTGTTCGCAACCGCGGAAAAGATTGTTCTTTGATTGTGATAAACGCCGATCCCCACTCGCCATTAATTCTCAGATGAAGAGTGAAGCAATCGAGGGTGCACACGTGGCTGCGCAAGAGATTTTGCAGCCGATTTTTGTCGGCAAAATATTTTACGAGAAGAAATTCCTCGTGAAACACATAAATATTTTGCAGGGGAGAAAATGGACCACATCCGGTGGTAATCGGCGGCGGTGCTTCATTTTTAACACGTGCAGCCGATTTTCTCGTCTGACGCGCTATAAATACGAAAAGCAGCGAATGTGCCAATTATTTTCCGCGTTCGTCAAGGCGCAGGATAGGAATTCCGCTGATACGCTGATGACAATGACATTTTCGGGCTGCATTCCGTATTCCTCGTATCTGCTCGCTTTGTATAATGTCTCGCGTGAATTTCATTGATACGCACGTGGCCGTGCAACCGTATCGCCGTGTTTCTTGTTTGTTCGGAATCGAGTTACGACCGCGCGAATCATTAATCTCTAGGTATTATTAAATCGACGCGAGTGCCATTATGCGTTAAAGGTGATCCAGTTGTCAATCGGCAGCGTGTAACATTATTTTTACGCGTTAAAAAATTCGGAACAAAAATATCACAAAAGTGTCATAAATTTTCTCGATGTTTCTCTTCCTCGATCGATGTCTCTTTAGCGAGAATTCTATGGCAAATCATAGCCAATAACGTCGAGTTTCGAAGTTTTCGGCATTAAGCATATGACGATACTTGCGCCTCGAGTGAAATTTCAATTCAAACTAAATTTCCTCCGACGGATGTTTCGGCACGTCGACATGAATTATCTATCAGGACGTCGTCCCGACAGTTAGCATTGTTTATAATCAGGTTCGTGTACGCTTCACGCAATCCGCAAGTATATTTGATTCATTCGACTCCGGATCGACAAATTGCGAAGCTCGCCGTCTCTTTTTCTCTCCCTCCTCCCCTTTTTTGTCTCGAAGCCGACCCACTAATACAACGCATAAATCACAGGTGACCGGAAACGTACGGCTTAATAGCGGTTCCACGGTAATCCGGGGTGGCTGTTTTGTTCATGCGACGTCTCGAAGTAAATTAAGTTAGCCCGACAGCGACACGAGTCCCAGACGCGCCTCGTTAGGTAAAAAGCAGTCGCGAGCTGCCTTCCGCGTGAAACGAGAAGTCCTTAGCTTCGGCGCGGGGACAGGCGTTGATTAAACTCGCCGTGAATTAGCAGCGAGATTAAGCCCACGAAGTCGCGAAAATTGCAGGGAAAGAAGAGACAGAGAGAGAGAGAGAGAGAGAGAGAGAGAGAGAGAGAGAGAGAGAGCGCGCGAACGGGAATTTCCCCGATGGATGTACGTTCTGTACGTTTCCTGTACTCGTCGATGTAAGCGAGGCGTTTGGAGGTGCGACAGATCGAATATCTTCGAAATACTCAAGATGTATTACTCACCGAAGAAGCAGCAGACGAATACGATGGTGTAGAGCGTGATGAAGATCACCTTCACATCGGTCCTGTCGAAGATGTAATCTTCATTCAGCGACACGTTGTACAGCAGAGTTTCGTTGTTCAGATAAGTTTCGTTGTTGCTGATCTCGTACGCGATGGTATTCCGGTCGTTGAAGAGCCTGGAACATGAGAAGTTTTCTTTCCTTTTCACGTACGACAATATTTTTCTTCTCATCGACTGCGTCGTAGCGTGATAAAGTGAGGTACCGAAGTCGATTAAAGATGGATTGCGAGAAAGGGACACGTGTACGACAAAATGGTCCGTCGTGCAAATCCCTTCTCGAGCGGATCAGAGATATATAAGACGTCCGTGTTGCGCAAATGGCGAGACTAACGAACTCCTCGCTACGAAAATTTAATATCACTGAGTCAGATAACCAAGCGTGCAATATGAAGAAGCTGCTTCTTGAATTTTTCGCACTAGATTCCACCCTGAGAAGAGGAGACACGTGAAATGGGTGTGAGAATAATAGGGTCATTCAGTTTAACGTCTCAACGTTTTAGAAAGAAAAGGGGGAAAAGAAAAAAACATACAAACACACACACACACACACACACACACACACACATATACAGATATACCGTCTTAAACCAGACCGATGATACAGCGGGGAGATCCGAAAAGTCGAATTTACGTGGAAGAAATATCCGCTCGCTCCGGTCCTTTTTATGCTAATATGGTGGAAGAAAATACCATTCAAGGACGCGCGCAGGACCGATTTAACGCGCGCGCGGTAAAGTGACCGGTGGGAGAAAAATGTGTCCACTTTTCTCAATTTAGCTTTGTGCGAGCCATTATGCTAATTTTAATTGCGGTAATGGCGTTTATCGAACAAGTGTTATTCTCCTGTGCGAGAAGTGCCGAGCGTACTTTCGCTTGACATTAGAATCGCGCGTGCTGTTTTTGCCGTAATTGCCGAAGTTGACTGCGAGAGAACAACCGGCGGTTGAACGAAAAATTTCATTAAAAAGATCGAGACGCCGGCATGTGTGACAGATAAGTGTGTTTACCTGCGCAACAAATTACATTAGCAACCTGCGACTTATTTGCAACACGTTGTGCAGAATAAAATGGAGGAAAATTATAGAGAAGCGGGAAAAGTTGAAAAAACACAGTCTAAAAAATACATGAGCGCGCACGATAACAGCCATGAAATTAAAAAGTCTAATTAATAGATGCGGCTTGTTAAAAATTCAAAGGGCGAAGTAAAATTAATATGATTCACGCAAAGCGCGCCGCGACGTCATAATATAATAAATGTATTCATGTATGCACTCGAGGAAAAATGTACAATGTCGCATTATTGCGTAAAGCCGGCAAGTCGAACTTTGTACTGTAGTCGTATATTACGCGCCGTTACATTACGTTTCTCATCGCTCGTCTTCTTACGCAATGTAACGGTAAATTGAAAAATATGGGGCGTAGAGACTGCTTTCTTTTTATATCAAGACCTCGTACGTTCCTCGAAACTGTGCTGCGAACAAGTGTTGATTATCGCCTTTGACCTCAAGACCACGTGCAAGACCCACCGTGCGAGTAAATTCTACCGGCTGTGCCGAGAGGAGAGGAGAGAGAAGGAGAGTAGCGGAGGACTGCGGATAGATATACGGCCGGCCCGAAATGAATTGGAAAATAAAAGGATTTCTAGTGCTCTCTAACAACACTCTAATATATTCGCAATACGTGTGCGTGCGCGCACATACATACACACATACACGCGCACACGTGTGCCTTAGAAAGCGTAATAATTTCGTGCAACCGGTGATATTGCGAAGTTGCCAGTTAATGAGAAAAATTGCGCTCACACGGCGCAACAGAATAGACGTCGAATGAGATATTCCGAGTTTTGGAAGTTTGAATATTTTCACAGTGCAGGATGTTTGCACGCGTCGAAGCTTATAGAACATGCGCTCGATCAAAGCCGAGCACATGTTACTACGATTTATTGTTCAACCAAATATCGTCGGTGCGTAAAAACGATGATGAACCAGTTACGCGAGAAGACGAAAGTTCTACTATAGATAAAAAGGTTCTGAATTTTTTTCCATCGAGTTACTTTGACGCGCGAATCTTTCAACGGCTTTCGACGAGATAATCGAGGAACGAATAATCCGATTGAAGGATAATTCGACCCGCGAATCTATTCTATTCATTTCACGGGTGTTAAGTTGCGAATCCGAGCACAGTGGAAGTCTACTTGTAGTGTTACATTTTACATTTGATTATTCTCCCGCGAACTCGCAAATTCGAAGCGAAGGATTATCCGGCCATGCGCGTTCTCGCTAGGGAACAGTCTAGTTCGAAGTGATCAAAGGGAGCCCGTGAACGAGAGACTCCGTGGATCCGCCGGATCTAGAGAGCATCCTATGCATAATAGCTACACTTGACAGCCTGCGCTTTTTTTGCGCCATGCTTCTGCGCTTTTAATCTCTCGGCCCGATATACCAGGATTATAAAGGGTTCAAAGGGCGCGGCAACGGGGCCAAGAATAATGGTCCGCCGTCACATGTTCGCTAAAGAAGTAACTCCTGATTCGCGAGAGGATTCCTGGAACGCCGGATCCTCGACACGTACGCGCGTGCATACACACCAAACGTACATTCATCACACGCACGCGCTCGGACATCATTTCGCTCCGGCTTGCTGCAAGCTGGCGAACGTATGCGGCAAAAGTTACGTACAGGTGCGCCAACAACGCCGTGCTCATCCATTGTTCGCGCCTGTTAAGAGCTCGCATGACGTCGCATGAGAAGCGTAACGCATGAGAAGATAACCGCGGGATAACAACGGGTCATTGGTTACACGGCGAGCGTGTGATCGCGGTTTAACCCCGCGAGAGCGTTCAGCCGCTGGCTCTCGCGAATCGCGACCGGGAATAAGATTATCTCCTCCGAATGTGAGATTGGGGGCGAGAGACAAACGCAATCGCGGAGTTGGAACGACCGGGTCAATGAAGAGCCAAAATCGGCCGGCCGGCAACAATACTCGCGCGCGTATCGTCGCTATTTCTGCGTCAGCGATTAGCGAAATGCTGACACGCGTTTAGTTTTCCTCCTCTCTCTCTCTCTCTCTCTCTCTCTCTCTCTCTCTCTCTCTTTATATATATGTCTCTCTTTTCTCTCTCTCTCTCTCTCTCTCTCTCTCTCTCTTTCTCCTTCTCTGTTGCTGCAGACGTACATATACCTGCAGTTTGATGCCGGAATGATTTCAACGAGCTTTCCAGCGGAATTTTACGATCTCACTCGGGCGGAAATTTACCTCTCGCGGTTTAATGCATTTGTCGTGATCGGTTTGTTTGCTCACTATGTGAATTACATTTGCGAGAGAATCTTGAATCGAGTTCCTATCGGAATACAACTGTTATCGCACCACTCCACTTTTCCCAAGCGTGATATTCTTTTTATTGATTGTAGAATCAAGCACGCGCGCGCGGAGAGTGAATTTTCATTTCTTTCGCTCCTGCCGCGTCGTACTCATCCTCGATCGAGTTCGAGCTTTTGTCAGCATTCGAGACGAAGACGTACCAACGTGGCAAAATTGTTGCGTTATAATTCTGTAGCGTTTACTTTTCTAACGAAAGTTTGTCTAAAAAATGGAATTTTTATAATGTTTTATACCCCAAGTTTTAAAACCCAAGTCTTGCTCTTCCAGATATTGAAAATTATACATATATATAATATGTGTATGTGTGTTAAATTACATAAACTCGAGTTCTTCTCCCCTCCCTCTTCCGCAGCACGAAGCAAATTGAATTTACAAGTCATCAGTGGGGTCGCTGCGATAACGGTTTTTAAATTAATTATGCAGTGCAGCTCGCTGACTTTTTTCATGGCTTTCGAAGAACGAGAACGAAGAAGTTGCAAACTAATCAGAAAACGGAACAAATTAATCATTCGCTCGGCTCACTTATTTAATTTTGCAAGAGCGTACTCGTTAAAATCCTAAATGCCACGTCCTAAATACTGCGTCAAGTACGATGATTCGTGGCTTACACGTAATTCATCTATCTGCAATCCCGCATAGATGCCAAAATCAGGAGAACGATCTCGCGTCCGACCGACACGTTTTATCGAGCATAATTTGCTTTGGATTTGCGGTTGGTTAGAATTAGCGGAATTATATAAACAGGACGGTGTGCCGACGAGACGACGAACGTCGCGACGTCGGTTCCTATATCCCGCGGTCCACTTAGCGCTGCATCTGGCAATTTGTTAGCGGAGGCAATTACTACATCGTTGACCTCGCTAACAATGCGAGAGGAAAACTAAACGTTTACGAAGGGAGAAAACTGCGGCATCGTCACCATTAGTAACCGTGCTCAATTGCCCTGCGAAGGATCGCGGTGCTTATTCGGTTATTTATCGTCATGCATAATTCGCTTGGAAAATTAAACTCCGCAGAATATAAACGGGCGACAAGAAGCACGTGTGCTTTTTCGGCTAATGTTAGTGATCAATTTCTATCTCGGTAGAAATTCAATTCGAGTTTCAGAGATTAAGATAAAAATCAAAATATATACCCACAATCTTTCTCCATTCCGAGTAAAATTTCGATCTGGGCAATCTTTCGCGTATCCGTGGCTAGAAATGTTTCATTATTATTGTACATACATTTTATATAGCAAAGGAAATTTTTCACACGAATATTTCTTAAGAGAAAATAAAATCTCAAAAGTAGGGGGAATAAAAATAAAAAGATTTTATCCGTAAAAGTAATTACCACCTATCTTCACCTTTTATCGCGATTCACGCTGATGGAAGCTCGGCTGCGACGAAATCGAACGAAGGTCGCGGTAGATATTTCATCACAAGCAAAAAATCGCTTACCTTATTTAATTAAGGAAGACGGAGGTTCATTTGCTGGTTAATTGAATCAATTAAAGTACCGTAACTTTCGACACGGCAGAAGGAGGCGTGGACGCAGTAAAAAAAATTTCTATGTTACTTGAACGAATGCTCAACGATCCGGCCGACGAGACGCGGTTTCTTCTAATTGCGGAAGAATTTCGAACTTTGTCGCTAAGATAATACTGAGAACGAGCAAGCGAGCGAGAGGAAGAAAAATGTATGTTTAGCGGTACGGAATACTTTATCATGGAAGTCAATAAACAATGAACCC